TTACAGTGTAAGAGCCTATTGATATTATACATATCAATAACTAAAGCCTATAATTTCTCTCTCACTCTCTCCCCCCTCTCTCTCTCTCTTTCTCCCCCTCTCTCTCTCTCTTTCTCCCCCCCTCTCTCTCTCTCTAACTGCCCCCTAGTTCATGCATACCATAGTCATAATCCGCCACCATTCTGTTTCTTAAAATGAAATTATGTTTTGTCTGTTTCATAATTTATAGAGCTCCCACTATCTAATCCTGTATAAAGACTACAAATAATCTATCTTTCCCTCTATGCAAATTATCTTTCACATCCCCCATCCCTCTCTTATCTATTTCTTTCCATCTCTGTAAAAAAGAGCATTGTTGAAAATGCACAGTGCTTTTAAAATCTATCAAGATTTTCCTATCTTAAAAATGTACCCACCCAGTTGCCTTCATTATCTGTGTATCATAATTTGTCTACATTTAAAAAAAAAAAAAAAGAAAAGAAAAGAAGAAAATTAGCAAACAAACATTCCGACTCTCAAAAGTTTGTGATCTAATGCATTAAATGTATATAAATAAATAAAATGTGTTGGTGTACCCGGGAGGCTGCTAATTTCTCAAAAAATAATCTATTAAATCTCCTAAATACAAGAGGATCTGTTTAAGACCTTGCTGTCATTGAATGATAACAAAATACCTTGCCCAGTTTGATACAAGCCTAATGATCAATGCATATTCTTCATTTACTAATTAGCTACATGGAGCAGTGCATCACAGACCCTACAAATCAAGTTATACACATGTATGTAGGCCTATTAAACAGGATATATGAAGAGGCCTATGAAACCTTCGTCCTTGACGAAGTCCCACACAAAAAGCTGCCCACAAGTATACTAATATGTTATCATGTAGTATTTATTGTGCCTATTATCGTACTACATGTATATATGTCCCCTGCAGATTATATAGGGGTTTGACACGAGGTCCTTTATCTAATATTGTAAGCTTTTGGACTAAATAGAACTAGAATGATTTCTTAGATAAAGCTAGCTGGCATTTTCAAGGGAAATATTCAGGACCTTCACATGAAAGATCTACAACAATAACTCCAAAATTTGTGTAGGAATACAAAATACAAAATAAATATTTTGGATTAATAGGCCTAGCCCCACACCGTATTCTACTATCTGCATTTTACAGCGTGCCTGTGAATTTGGACGTGATTACTAATAGATCTACAAAAGGCATTTGAACAAATCTTTCCTCAATCTCTATGCAAGCATACAGTATATACATGTATTTTGTTCATGAAAAGGCCCTAATATGCTCAAGCGACCACTTTAGGACAAATATTGTTTTGTTTTTTTCTTTTATAAAAGAGAAAATTACAATATAAATCTCCACTCATGCATGATTTATGTACATGTATATATTTTTACGATGAACTGTTTTTTAATCTGGTTTTCCTATAAATACAAATTTAAAAAGCAATGTTTTCAGCTTGATATAAATCTACAAATAGGACGCTGGTTAAATTTTAATGAACAATTGTCCTTTGTTTGTACACTGACTAAGTCTTTCAGTATTTTCAAGGTCCATGCCATTGATTATACCAAGTGTCAATATTTGTTTACTTCAAAACATGCCTAGTGTAAACAAGAACTAATCCCACAATGTAAACAACCACTCCATTGATAGCTCAACTAATTCAAAACGATATAGTTAAAGCCTGTTCAGATATTACGCGACAAAACCTCTGCACTTTCAGATTGTATTTATGTAAAGCGTGATACGCACTACATTTCTGTATCTCATTACACATAGCTCAGTGAATACGCACAGGACCGTTGTTGCGCGCAGTAGCCATTCATTTACACATTTTAAGGAAACGCGGCGACCCTTTTTTGCTGCGCTTTCTAGCATCATACCTGAACAAGCTTTTAGTTATTTGGATACAATATGTTAGCCTATAACATTTGTAGAAATGTTCAACTGAAGTTCAACATATCATTACAATTTAGTGAATTTCTTGATAAAATATGAACTTGAAAGAAAGAAAAAATGTATCTTTCAATGTATATTACATATAGTACATACAGAAATGTATGGCAAACATTGAAGAATTTTTTAATTTTAAAAACAGACAAAAACGTTCCATGTTAAATTGAACACAAAAAGATTACAGCAATCGTGCATTGTCCATAGACGATTTCCATGATATTGTCACAAGTGTACATCTACATTATGACAGAGATCTAAACAGGACACTTTTCAATGAGTAGAGTTTGCTAAACAGGAAAACTAATTTCAAAGGAAGGAAAACTGAACACACGTCAACTAAATAAACTTCAGGAAATGTCCTTGATTTTTGTTTTCCACAGCACTTTAAATCCTCTCCATATTGACACTGAACATTGTAGTACAATTATGTGCTTACAAGCCAACAAATAGACCAATAAAATACCATGTCATCAATGTCTGCCCTTATTAATAAAATAAAAAATGTAAAAATTGTCAACCAGACACGACAGACAAGAAGAGAAAATACTGTTAAGTATGTAGTTTAACCTAAAAGAAAATAGGTAATTAACCGGGACATCAGATGCGGACCTGTCTATTTGCAATATGTTGAGGGAAGTTTGTGGATTTTTATTTTTAATTTAAATTATTCATACACCTTGTAAATTGTGATGTTTTTGTTTAGTGTTTTCCTTAACTCAAGAATGAAAGGTGGACTGGTTGAATTAGGGCCCTTTTGTTGAATAGTTTTAGATTTAAGCTTTAATAGGTCTCATCCTCAAGAAACGTAATTAAATCAGGGCAAACCAATTTCCACATACTTACAAAATTACAAAACTTGGCAATGGTATGAAATATTGAGTTGTTAACCTGTATATTTACATTTATACATTCTTTTAGAAGTTGCAGCTATCTCTAATTGTGTTAGTATCTTTTTGTGATAAACAGATGAAAACTAAACAGAATGAAATTCAGCTTATATGATCTCTTTACAAACCTGACAAATTAACCAACAAAAAACTGGTCATCAACATTCATCCTTCTCCATCCAAACATGGAGTCTGGACTGCCATACAAAGACAATATAGTTACCCTGACAACCACACTGTGTCCAGGTCAAAGGTTACGCACATTAAACAACAACAAAATTCACAACTTCTGCTAAAAGTGCTAGTATTGACAGAGAAATATTCAGGGGAATTCAAGAACACATTATATCTATAGATAGGTTTGTTAGAGAAAGAGAAACAGGAAGTTATGGGGAAAATGAATTTATTATGAAGCATTTATAACAATGAAAATATTGTAAAAACATGATAGGTACATGTACTTGAGCAAGAACGATACCATAATTAGAGGAACTAACTGATTTTCTTTTTCTTTTCAATTTGCACATGACCAAACTTTCAATTTTATATTGCCTGTACTAGTATCTCATGTACATCATATTCCACGACCTCCTTTTTTGGTCCCATATTTAAAGTTTGCATAAAGTTTTGACTCAAATATAAATCCAACACATTTTGCTCACATACTGTACCTACAGTTTTTTGTCTGTTGATAACTTGAGGGCCAGAAGGGTATAAACTCTGAACACCCTTCTGGCCCTCAACAGATTGGAAGAAAAAGGAAAGAAACAATAAAATTGTTATCCAAGGTCAATATTGACGGCTTACTTGGAACCATCCGGTCATCATGTCGGGTCAGGTGGTCAAGTGACATGACCCTTTGTAAAACAAAGATAGAAGATCTTGTGTTTTTCGTAGATGATGGGTAAATTGGACCAGACCATTTGTACATGAGAGGGATTTATTTCGCGGACATAACCACCACTATTTCGTAAATAAAGGGGCATGTTTTCCCGAAGAGGTAACATGAAGGGGTAACATGACCACCAGACCCAACATGAGGACCCGATGATTCGAAGTAAGCCTATATTGACCACTGTGTAATTAAAAGCAGGAGAAGACGAGAAGGTTAATATTCCCAGTCAAAGAAAGCTCTGTGGGTTAGAAATTTCAAGATTAGTATAAGTGTGAGGAAGTAAAGACTTCAATGTGCATGTGTATTCTAGCCTTGCTTTCAGCTTAAATGAGCATTTTATTCCCATCCTTTAAGTCTTAATGTAAGACTATGCATTGCAATATGCACCCGTAGAACCTCAAATTAAAATGACATAGTCTTTCACCCAGACTTACATGAAGCGTAATGTCTGTTGAGAGCCAGAAGGTCATTAACTCCTGTTCTTTCACATGGAGTTATTGCCCTTCCGGTGCTCAGCATACAATGTGATTCTAGGATTGAGGGGAAAAAATCTCATGTCGGCTGAATGCTAGGCTAGAAGTGTCACAGCAGAATTGAAAGTGATGGAAAAGCATTGGCTTGTATTCATGTAGGCAGACTGAGATAAACCTAGTTTAGCGAATTCCACCGATTTTTCAAGCGCCTTGTGTCAGGCTCTTTATTTGGTAAAAATTAATTAATTCTGCACCAGGGTGATTTAACAAACTAAATCCAGTCATGAATATTGGAAAAAAAGTTTGTCGTAAATAGCGTGATATTGATTTGTTCATTTAGTTACAGAATCGTGCTATTTTTCAATAGGAAAATGCAATTGAGCACTCCACGAAACCAGTGGAGAACCATAAAAACCGTAAAATTGCGCAAATTGATAAGGACAGAATTTGTTTTCACAGGGAGAAAGCTTTTACAACAATCAAGCGTTGTGTCAACTATTATTCAATCATTTCGCAGCATGCCACTTTCACGAATCCGAGTCGATTGTGAAATCACTAACATTTTGAGCATGCAAAGTTTCTGATTTTACGCCAATGTGTCGGCCGGGGTCTAAATCTTGATTAAGTTAGTACGCCTTCATGAATACTGGCCAATTAGTTTACACCATGAGTATTAAAGCTGAAGGAATATTCTGGAAAGCAGATAGGAGATCACATCAAAACTAGAAAGAGAAGGATAGAACATTCAACGTAAAGGTTCCACATACCGGTTCCTCCACTGCCAGTTTTGTTTCCAACCTTTGACGTTGCTGTTTCCAGGGCTGGGATGATACATTGGGGGATAGGGACATTCATATCAATTTAACTTGGGGACACAAAAAGATCACAACGAACTTAACATGACCTCAATATTAGTTCATTTCACTAGGGCTTCCAGAGTTAGAATACCAACCTACATGTACATGCATATAGGCCCATCAATAATTTGATCTTTAGTACTTGAAGTAAAGTAGACCTTAATGTTGCAAATATTTTCACATTTCCACCTAACTTTTACCAAAAAAGTGGATCAAATTGCAAATTTTATCCATCAAACCCCAAATAAATGAAATTATATATTTTAACTACTGTAGGTTACTTAATCCTTATAAAGCAGCAACCATAATTAAATCACATAAGATTATTTCTATAAAATATACAGATTATTCATGATAATCTAGAGCAACAAAAAGAACATCCCCCTTCCATGTTTTAAGATTTTTTCATTAACTACATCTAAAGATTGTCTAGATTGGGCTTGGGTTTTTCCCGTTTAAATGGAAAGCATGATTTAATAAATGTTTACCAAAATATATCTGAAATAGATGTAAGCTGTTTAGCATAAATAAAACCCAATAAACTTAACTAAACAAAAAAAAAAAAAAAAAAAAAAAAAACAAGCTTGCATAAAATCTAAGTTTCCAAATTCTATACTCAGTTACCATCAAAATTGAAACAGCAAACAGTTTAATAGCAACTTAGATCAAATTCAGAATAACTAAAATAAATTACTTTAAAACGTTAACAAATTAGATTTGAACCATAAATTTCTAAAAATTCTAGAACTAAATCAATTCTTGAAGAAAGAGAAGTCAGTGTCATCTGGAAAAAAAGGAGACATTAGGACAGAGAAAAGTAGAAGTTAGAATGAGAAAATGAACAAAAAAAAGGCAGGGGTTGGGGTATGATCCAGGAAATGTTACGGGGGTAAAAAAAAATGACCAACAGTTTACACCAGTGTTAGCAGAACAATGTTTGATGAAGAAAATCTCTGCTTTTCCTGTGAAAAAGGTGTTAGCTCAGGGTTTTATTGGGTATTAGTTTGACAAATGTTTTTTACACCATTGCCACAAAAGAGATTTGAATATAGGTGAAGCTGCTAAGTAATTGGGAAAGAAGAAGAAACTGAAGTTAGTAGAATACTAAGAAATAATTAGTCAGCCTGAGAGCAAATTTGTTACAGAACCTGTTTTTTAACTTGATGAATGATTGTCAGAGGGCAAATTAACGAACAGTTCAGCTAAGAGTTGAAGTAGCGAGACAGAATAATTAATGTACCAAACATTTGCATTAATAATTGAGCTATAATAGCATTCAATAATAGGCCACCAATAGCATCTCACTTTTTTCCTTCACTATTCACCTCCTTCTTTCTCTTCTCTCTTCATCACTTTCTTCCATGACTTGAGCACATGACCCACCAAATGATGTGAACATTGTAGTAATTGACTAATTGTTCATCTTTAGAATACTAAATAAGTATACCAATCACCTAAAAGAATGATTTGTGTACCGATAGAATAATAATAATAATGATATCTACATTTATATTGTGCATATCCGTCCCACGGGATGTTTGAGGGGCTTACAAATTAGTATTATAACCCTGGCTTTAGCCCAGCTTCCCTAGCACTAAAAGCATTCAAGGAATAACTTCAGGTACCCATTTACTACACCTGAGTAGAGAGTGGCAAATGTACCGGTAGATAAAAATATCTCTCCAAAGGACATAAGTGCTGCGGCGGAACTCGAACGGCGAACCACATAATCCACAGAATGTTTAAAATCAACTTCTAAAAAATTTACCTGCTATTTGGTGGGCTAATGAAAAAGGAGTTTAAAATACATAAAGAATACCATAAAACCCCACATAAAGAACCAAAATATTTGTGACTTGTAACCTACTACTTTTCCTCATTTATTCATTACAGAACTTCTCAGAGATGTAGATCTCTTCATATTTAGACACAGCTTTAAACGCTTGTCAGATAATCTGAGGTAGCTAATCTGCACTAATCCCCCTTAAGCTCTTAATTGTCAGCAAAGATTTAGAGGCTAAATTTTCCCTTTCCCTGTAATGCTGCATTTGCAGTACAGTCAACTGCATATCCAGAACCATGTTTCAGTCCTCAAATACTTGTATCTCAAGTATACAAGTATATCAACGTTTTATCATGCACTAAATTCTTTGAAAAGAATGATTATCAGAGAAGTTTAAAAATAATGTTAAGTGAGTATTAATTACAAAACATTTGTTAAAGATATAGTCCTAGTTAAGTTCCCCAAATTAATTCTTGTTTACTAAATGACAAGACATATGATTTAGAGGATGTTGCAACTATATCAAATTATAACAAAATATTAAGTAGAGTTCCATGGTTGCTTTCAAGGCATGCATGGGATATAATTAGAACTAAAAGTACAATCACTTCCTTATAGCATCTATGCCAGTCTGTAACAGCGTCAGCGGCAAAATTACCATGAAGGAGTTGCCAATTTAAGGACGGAAAACTGATTAATTTAGAGAATAAGGACACTATTCAATTCAAACAGAAAGGTAAACAAAGATATTACATGTTTTTCATACATAATTCTTTTTTTCTGGTAACTATACAAATAAACTTTGCACATAATATTACAACACTATGAACTGGTATGGGTAAAATAGGAATCAATAACATCTAGTTTGTTGTGGTAATGACCTTTGTACCAAGGTAGCTAAGCTTCTATTGTTATGCTGATCAAGGTTGTAAACCTCTTGTATTGATGTAAATGTAAGTGAAGGGACGCCAGACAAGGAAGTGATTGTGTAATCATCGAACCGATATGTCACAATGGATACTCTGTATGTGTACAATGTACATGTGAAGCCAGATGGGCCCTGTATTGAGTTTATGGGGATTAGTTGAGAATAAAGTATTCCTAGCGCTATTATGCTGCTAATGTCATCATCATAGATCCAATGCATATCATGTGCACAATATGTACATTGATATGAAATTGTATGCCACTGTACCACCTTCAAAATATGTTTTTCTACCCTTTGGATATTTTCATACTTTCCATCTTTGATAAATATCAGAAGAATCATCATACTCTTATATATTTCACCTTTACAGTGCGACTAGAAATATCTCCAGTCTACATGGAAAGCCAAAATGTCTAAATGTGTTGTGTTGTAAACACAGTTCTCCAAATCGTCACTCTAGATCTCAACTCTCCAGAAAAATACAAGTATGGAGGCTTGATCCACAAACAGAAAATGAAAACTTGGTTCTAGTTCGAAAAGTTATGAACCAGAGCAAAATAACACTTACATGTAGTTCCTATAGGAAATTTATTTATTCAGATGGTCATATCTCAGCCAATACTTAACATATTCAATTGGTTTTTGACATTTGGCCATTATTTTTGATGCTCTTTCGGAAAATGAAGAAAATATTGAGAAATTCTAAAAATGGATTTTTGATTACGTCACACTTCACCACTCTATACATACATGTAGGTATTATATGACAATCTCTCTCCAATGATACCTGTAAGCTCCTACATACATGTATAGAGAGCTAAATGTTATAAATGTGCTACCATTATGGTGCATATAGATTTATTGAACATTACATATTAGATTATCAAAACAAGCTACTCCTACTTTCAACATAGCCATCCAAGGCATCATAAGGTAGAAAAGGGCATACCTATCAATTCCACCTGCAACCCACAAACTCAGAAGCATTCACAAACTCTTTTTTTTTCAATCGTTCTCTAATATCTGAATGGAACAACCTTCCCACTTCCACTGTGAAACCACCATCAATATCCACTTTAAAAAAGCATTCCTTTCAGATCCACAACTTAAAATTAAAAAGAATTACTCTCTTCGACACACCTCCAGTCAAAACTCCCATTGGAGTGTTTCGGATGATTACCAACCAAGTATCAAGTACCAGTTGCCTTGGTCATTAATTTATGCATGATGTAAATATTGTTTCCCCAGACAGAATTATAAATGAATGTTTGAAATGATAGTGTTCTGTATTTGTAAAAGTAACTTATTAGCATCAAGCGGACTGTGTGCTCAAATTCTCCAGGACACTTTAGATTCCATTAGTGGTTCAAATGCATGCAAGTTGTTAATAAGTGCAATTGAAATATCAATCTCTATTTGATTGCTATGTTAAAACTACTAACAAGTTAAATTTGTTAAAATGGAAGCTAAAATAATTGTATAGAGTGCTTATGCAATGTTATAGATGAGCTAATTATTTGTTAGCAATGCATTGTGGCTCTAGCTTGGGACCTACATGTACACATGTACATTAATTCAATTCAGAAGAAAGAAACTTCTAAGTTATAACAGGTCTCTCCCTCCCCTACTTTGAAATCAATTTTTTTTAAAATCTAAAATTAGCTTTCTGTTTTGAAATACACTTTTGATTCGAGACACAATTCTTAATCTATAGTTCCAATTCAGAAGAAATGTTTACTTGTTAAGCTGATTATATTACAAAAATATTGCACAAGACAAGACAAGACTATCATTGTTATCTTTTATAATTAGGCCATTATCTTTCCATTTTCAAACGGTGTCTTATTTATTAATTAAAACTAAAAAATTATACATTCAATTCTTTCCGTCCTTTGATTAAAATGTATTGTTCACCTACATGTATTCTTCATTGTTTAAATTTTGAGAGAGAAAATAAATCAAAATAACATACATGTACTTTGGTAGTATAAGTTAGCTATTTGTTTAAATGAATCATTACAAAAGTAAGCAAAATTCTTTTAAATCAAACAAAGGCATTTTTTTCCACGAAGATTTCAATGTTCAATTTATTCCAAAAAACAAATTAACAAAAAAGAGAGAACTCTTTTGAAAGTGAATTCAAACATCTTGAACAAAAATTCCCCTCACCTGGCGTAGTTGGCGTATTTCCTTCTGTTGTAAATGGTTCTGGTGTGTTTAGAGCACATACATAAACGTTAGAATTGTCATACTGTATATGGATGATATATATAAACAAATTATATTTCTTGTCAGTTTCAAAGAGATAACAGAACATCCAAATGTTAAAGCTTGCAAAGTCCAGAACAATTGAATAGAATATATTTAAAGAGTATATGCCTAAAATGAAATGGTTAAAATCAAAGGCTATTCATTTAGCGGCTGTAGTACTAGCAAAGAAAGCCATATAAGATATATTAAAGCATATTAAATATACCTATGAAGAGTGTGCCCCTTTCTAATTTCTACAACCATAACTTTAAGAATATAATTTTATTCTTCACAAAATACATAATGGCAAGTTTCATTACCAGCCATTTTAGTTCCAAAGTTCGGTTTGAAAGCATAACGTACATGTACGTTCTAAAGAAGAATATAGGGTTATACAGTGTACATGACTTTGTATGAAGAGTACAAAAACATGACTTGACCAGATTCAATGCGACACATGAAAAAAGGTTTAACTATTTAAAGCAAAGTGAAGAAAAGAGTTGGGTATGAGGTTGGTCTAAGAATTTAGGTCTTTTTATTCTCCACAGAGCCTACGATGCATAGTCCATTTCTAAACAATACAATAAATGTTAACTGCGGGTAGGAAACAGTTGGAAATGGAATATATTCTACTTTGAATGTTTTAATTTGAAAATAGAGGACAGGGTAAATAAATGTGAAAGGATACTGAAATCTATATACGGTAGAAACAATTCACGAGTACATTGAATGCAACATGTGGAAGTGTCGTGTGTTTAGTGGTCTAAAGTAAAAGTCAATGTTTGTGGAAAAGTGAAATTATTTTGCATCATGAAAAAAAAAATGTGCATCAACTACAGACCAAATAATTGGAATTAATATTTTGCAAATAGTGCTTCTGGAATCCTCATGAGAATAATGAATAGAGTTACAGGACAGTTACCATCAATACTACAAGCTAATATACCTTTCAACTAAATGTTAATGGCAAAGGTTACGAATAGTCACTTACTATTAACAGTGGGAGGACATAACTATTAGTATATGCAAATTTGTGTAGCCAGAAAAATATCATGCATGATGAATGGTTGTTAGAGGGAATACTGATATGAGTTTCATGCACATGGAAAAGGGGGTGAACAGTTAAATGTACGTCAAAAGGATGACAAAGAAATGAAGAAAACAACACAGAAAATGCTGACACAAAAGAGGACAGGCAAAACCACAATTTCTAAAATATAAATAAATTGTTTCTGATGAAAATAAATCAACTAAAATTATATCAAAGCTAAGAATAAGAAAAAAATCAAAATGTTTCATATTTAACAATCTCAATGCCTATTTGAATCTAAAGTTGAAAGTCTAATTTGTTGGTAACTGACAATATTAAAGTATTTGTGTGGATAATAACACACACAAATGTTTGTTTTTATGATGAGAATAAATGAATGAAATGAATGATAATAGAACGGAAGAAAAAAAAATGGACATACCGGTCGTTGGAGGAGGGGCGGTTGTGCCTGTTCATGGTATGGGAAAAGAGCAAAATGAAAATAAAACAAATAAAAAAAGGGGATGTTAGACAAATAGCCGTTTGTATGACACATGCACAATTTCACCAGGAAAATATGAATTTATGTACATGTATGATTGATTCCCTGTGTTGCGTGTGTCTAAAATCTCAAAATGTATCACATCTCTGTGAGGGTAATAGATGTGCTAATTTTGTGGATTGTGTACTTCTAGTTTAGTCCTGAATTTGTGCAGATACAATGTACACATGGACATGTACTGTACTGTATTCAGTTTTAGGTCAACTACTTTAATAGTGGACTATAACAAAAATAATCACAAATAAAGGCACCTCTCAAGATCTGGGATAAACAAGTGATTTGCCAGAAAATTTAGCAATGTTTTGATGACTTCAGGGACCAATCAAGAGAAGCAGACAATGTCCTATAACTAATGAACATAATTTCAGTGAAATTATTTCTCAATTCTTAGAGTTTTATTGATTTTAAACATGAACTAATGGATATCACACCATTGTATATAAAGAGGGAAGTGATGCTGATGATGATAATAATAATATAATATTTAATTTTTATATAGCGCTTAATACAAATGTCTCTAAGCGCTTTACAAATATACTATTACCCCGTTCATTGGATTCAGTGCTTGCCCGCACACACTGTGTGCACAATCTCCACTCCCTGGGGAGCATTCCAGCCGGGCGTTACTTGACGCTGACAAGCTGTTTGACCAACAATGATGGTCGCATCCTACCGGGTACCCATTTAACACCTGGGTGGAGAGTAGCAAGTACAGGTTAATATCTTGCCAAAGGATATTAGTGCCGTGTCGGGATTCGAACCCTCGACCTTCGCATCTCCAGTCAAGCGCCTTAAACCACTCGACCACGACACTCCCACTGATAATTGTATTATAATTATAATCCTTTGCTTAGAAACATTCAGGGTAAGTAAGGAAGATTTATAGATTAAAAAACACTGAAATATTAGGACGCTTTTTAATTGAAACACCTACAATGGGGTCTTTCTAATAGAAGCCACGTAATGAAGCTACAGTACAACTGATTTCTTTATTTTGTTCATAACGCTGCATTTTTTCATCAAATGAAACCATGCCCTAAAATTAGAGTGAGATGACAGATCAGACAGTTAAAATGACACTGGTGAAGTAAGAGAAATAAGTGAAGAAGAGACGATGATATAGGGTGTGTAAATGTGTGCATTGTTCTGAGACATCGCCTGCTTATAAAATGCTAATTTGGTCCCTTGAGTGATGTCACAAAACTCGGCAGTGTTCTGATAGCTCTCTAAGTGCGAAAGTGGGGAAGTATTTTACCGTTTTAAAAGTGATAATAATTGTTACTCTTATCCCAGAACAGGCAGGCTTCAGACCTGGAAAACCATGTACACTGGTCAACTCCTGAACCTCACACAATTCATTGAAGATGGTTTTGCAAGTGGAAAATCACAGGTGCCTGCATTTGTTGATCTTTCTGCAGCATAGGACACAGTCAACCACCAAATTATCATCAAGAGACTGTATGAGATGACCTGAGATGTCAGAATGACTGAGCTAATTTGCAACATGTTGCCGAATCATAGATTCTTTGTACTGTAGACGTACATGTCAGACAGAGTAGATGGCAGACACAGAAGAACTGGCTCCCACAAGGGAGTATCCTTGCCTCTCTATTGTTTAATATCTACACAATGACCAACACATCCACCCAGGAACCAGATGCTGATGCAATGCATCTCAAAAGTATGAGAAGTAGAAGTTTCACTTAGCAATGCCCTTGACGGTCTCATCCCTTTCTATGCCAATCATCTGAGAGCTAACCTAGACAAAACGTAACTTAGCGCCTTTCATCTTAAGAACAGGGAAGCTATTAAACCACCAACTACAGATTAGCTGGCATTGGAAACGGTTGCAACACACTACCAAGCCAGTCTCTTTAAAATTAAGTAATCCTAATGCTACAAGTAGTTGTAGCTTCTTTTTTGCTAAATTTTTACATTTAAGATTTCAAGATTCAAGATTTCAAATTTATTCATGTTTCCAACAAAACATTACAAATCAAATATAAGCATTTAAAACAAATTTAAGATGAATGCTTTCCAATGCAAGAAATATTAATTCAAAGTAAATGTATAAATAAGCCATGGATGAACAGAGATTTATTAAAAAAGATAAGGAAAAAATGGCGTTTACACTGAATGCAGGAAAAATGTGTACAAACAATTTAGAAATAAAATTACATATGAAATAAAAAAAAGTTAACTATCAATATTATAAAAATAAATTAAATAAGGATATGGGTACCGTAATATGAAAGCAACATAAAAAACTATAAATGAAGCACTTGGATCAAACTCATGTTCTAAACAATGTGGCTTCAAAAGACTTAACTCTGTTTCGTTGACGATCAGCCATGCACAAAGAAGACGAAAGACCTGATGCATGGCTGATCTTCAACGAAACGGAGTTAAGTCTTTTGTAAACTCTGTTTTTTGCTATGGCAGGTAGCCAGTGAAAACGAACTCGTTCGATAAAATTATGGAAATGCAAGCATTGCTTTAAACAAACAGAACTTTGTTATTCCTGGCTCGATTTTCCTGATTGAGGTGTCATATAGGCTTGGGAGCGAGCGCCGAGTACCCGATTCTACCCGATTCTGAAATCCAGAACCGAGGAGTCGATTCCAATCTCTAGAGAGTCGATTACCCGACCACGTCGGTTCCGAGACTCCCAGGCCCGATTCTTCGGTGCTGGAGTCGATTCCACAGTACCGAGAATGAGAGCCAACTCTCTCAAAACAGAATGCATGCGATCTATGAGAGCGCTGATACACACATTTGTGTGTCAGAGTAAAACGTGTGTGCATGTGGTCGGCAATACTGCTGTGTGCTGTAACTTTGCAAGTCATCTGCCCCCCCCCCCCCCCCCCCATTATTGACCCCATTACGAGCCATTCTTTACAAGCCGTGTGACCACGGTGTGATCATCAAGGAGCTGAGTTGATTCATACATTTTTCTCTCGTGAGCGAACTGATTTATGTGATTTTTGTGTTTATTCTTTCTATCTCGCCTTGTCTCCCCCTTCCACTAGACATCGTTTAGTTTTCTTCCCCAAATAAACATAAGTTACAGTGTCCTCCTCCTTTCTCTCTATTTCTTTAATTCTCCTCATCGCGTTTTTTTTAAAGTTATTTATTTTCTTCTTAAAGAATAAGTTTGACAGGTCTCCATCTACTTTTTCCTCTCGCATTCTTGTTATCAAATATCTTTGTTTTCAAAACATTTGCTGCATTATGTAGCCTCGTCTATTTCCAAGGAACAAGTTATTGCAATGACGACCTTCGTCATTGCCTTGTTTTCGTTCACATTCTGCCCCATTAATATACTTATCCTTATCCTTATCGTCCGGAAATCTCATTCGTTTTGCACGTAGTGTTTGTTATTCCTAGTTAGGTACTTTCCTCAAGTCCTTTTCCTTTCAAATTTCGTAGGCGTCATCTCTGATATCTCCTCAAGGTCACCTACTTTTTCGATTTTCGAAATCAGTCATGCATAACCATCCAGGCGCCATTGTGTCCGTTTCTGGTCCATTTTAAGGCCTTTCTTCATTCCTTCCTATCTCCACTATCCTAGATCCTACAAACTTCTAACAAATTCCTTTAGATAGTCTAAGAGATGTTCTTTCATCTGCGACGCATAACTTGACCTTCAAAATGCCATCTTCATACTTGAATTTCAAATCTAAAACCGACTCCGTCAAAAAAATCTCAAGTTCTTGAAAAATGGACCCCTAAATAATCTAAAACTGCCATAACTTTCTCATATAAATTCCGTTTTGTATTTAAATCTTACAGTATCTTCATCTCATAATTGCACATAGCCGTGCCAAATTTCACGCTCCAATGGCTTTGCACAACATAAATAGCGCCCTCTAAAGTTTTGGGAATTGGCTTTCTCTCTGTGGCCGTATCTCCATAATGGCTTGGCAAACCCGTACCCTTTTTTGGATTTAGATACTTGAAGATATGCCCTTTCCAGCCATATACAAAATTATTTACCCTATCACTGACCAAATTTGAGAAAATTGCCCTCCAAATTCGCCATTTTCAAGAAAATTCCGAAATAACTTCAAATTGCTCTAAAATGGCGATCTTTATACCTAAATCAATGAAACTTGGCAGACATATGTATCCATATACGTGACAACTGTTTATTAAGTTTGGTAAAATTTGAATATGTCAGCGCAAAGTAATCGCCAAAAATGATGAATTTACTATGTATTACATAATAGCGCGTTTAATGCGTGCAATACATTGCGCGCAGATGACAATGGTGTCAAACTGACCGCAATGAAGTGCCCTTTCGAATGATACCAAGTATAGTATATGTTCACACAGAAAATTGTGAGTAAATCGCATTTGAACAAAGGTCACTACACGAATTCCGCCGAGTTTCCGCCCGAATCTAACATGTATCGGCTATGACGTCATTTTTTCAGACTGCTTTTCGCCCCTTAAACGACCTTTTTTTTCCTTGAAAATTTGCAGTGACATGCCGAGTTCCAATACGCAGGGCACCTCATGGCCGGATTTTTAAAATTGGTCAATGGGGCCATTTAAGACGCCATTTTGTCCTATAAATCTATTTTACATCACGTGTTTCGATAGGATTATCATAGAAAAAAAAAAGTGGTTTACAATAACAATCATGAAATTCTCTTTCTAATGATACTAAATACGGCCCATAAAGAGACATAAAGAGAGGGAGAAAAAACAATTTAACTTCCGTCAAAATACAGATCCTGTACGTTTTCCGCTCATGCAGTACACGCATTGTCCTATGGGGCATATTGGGTTCACGCTTTTGACCCCCAGATAGATCTTTATTGCAATGACGAACATGCACCAAATCCCCTTGGTTTTTGCACGCAGTGCTTGCGAGCCCTTTCTACGTCCTTTCCCATATCCCA